CAGATTTTTCATTGGTGGCAGTGGGAGCCACATACCTATTCTGTGTGTGGAGTTTGCATGTTCTTTCCATGTTGTACGACTCTCCTTTCACAGCCCTGAAACATGCAATCAGCTAAACTGGCATCTTGAAACACCTAAAGTGCCTGTGCCCTGCAACGGCCTGGCCCCACATGCTGGGCGGCTACAGGCCTAATGCACCATAGATAAGACTTTAGACTCTCCATGACACACAGCTGGAAAACAAGGTTTTAAATAAAGCAGTTCCCAGTAGACATCCTACTCTAGCGAACTACAGGCTCCCAGCAGAAACCTGAACACTTAATCTGCTGCACTCAGAGGTGTAGAAAAGCAAGCAGTGTTTTCGCTGGTAACATCTCTCCATCCAGCCCGCCATGCCAAAATCTTTGCCGCCATGGCAAAAACATCTATCCAACCAATCAATCAATCAACTAATCCAACGCTTTGGTGATTTGCTCGGGAAGCCCGAATCCCACCCCATCCACCATTAAGGAATTCAGTAGGTTAATGGCAATTAATAGGCTATATTATGTTGTCAATTGGGAGATGCTCTTATAAAGCTCTAATAAAAAGAAACTTACTTACAAGGAAAAGAAAAACAGATGAGATAAGGAAGCACAGCAGGCATTTAGTTTGGTGGAGGGAAGACGATGCATCTTACACCCTATTCACACTCACAGAAACCTACATATATCGGTATTTTAGCGTTACGGTGTTGTGTGGGAATGGGAGCAATACGGGAAAGTCAACTCAATCTATCCCCTGGTGACCTTATAACATTAGCAGTGTTTACAGAAGGAGGGGGGGGCAGGGAATTCTCTCCCTTTATTCACTATATTGATATCAATTGGGAGAATGAGACACATGTTACTTTACTGTTATGGAAGATAGAATTTCAGTCACACTCAATCTGTCCAGTGTTATTTTTACCTGATACATAAATGGGTTTCATATGCGAAAGGGGTAATGTGCCAGTTCGACTGACTCACAGAAATATGTGCAGTGCACTTAGGCTGAAGTTAGATTGCTGGAGATGGGCAAACTGTTGAGGATTTCCGCCACACTGTCCCCCCCCAACCAAACCTCTTGGTCCGAAAGAAACACTGGCAAGTATTGAAAATAAGCCATTTCGCAGTACATGACAACATGAAAATACAGATCCTGCCTTAGACACTCATTTGGAGGAGCTTTGACTAAAAACATCTGAAGTAAAATGCAGTACTTCCAGCTGTCCTCAACCTTTGAAGACATGCACAGTACATCTGCTAACCAGGGTGATCTGTTCCACTGAACATGGAACACAGACACATACCCAAGTCAACACATAGAAGAATTACACTACTTAATTACTCACACTTTACACAGGTCCCTATGGAATAGCCCACGTGGTTGAGGTCATGAATGTGTGTGGGGTCAGCATTGGCACTGTGTTTGCAGGATATGCAGATTTTGTTTTTTGATTATATCTATATAGATTTATTCCAGCACCTAAAGCAGAGGCACACAGCAGAGTGGGAGAAGTACAGCTCCCAGCGAAATGAAAATACCCGCAGCATAACATCCAAAGTTAAGCAAGCAACCGTCCCTGACATGTTTTCGAACTGTGTGTCATATGATAAGAATGGGGCACGGTGGAAGGCTATAAACACTGTCGTGATGTATATTGCAAAAGACATGGTGCCCATACATACTGTGGAAAAGCTGGGATTCATTAACATGCTAAAAGTTTTTACAAGTTTCTAAAAGTGTTTACGATGGCGTGGTCTGCCATCTCACTTAAAAGCATCTTTTTTGGCTTGTCAGATTGCACTTCAATTCTAAAGTAAAAAAACAAAAACAAAATAAAGTTAAAACTTGTTTTGAACCATTTGTCATCTGTAGTTTGATTTTGAGTAGGGGAGGGGAAAATCGATTAAAATCGAAAATCGGATTTATTGTGAAAAAAATCTGAGATTATATTTTTAGGCCATATCGCCCAGCTCTAATCTGCAGTTAACATGGTCTCTGCCTGCACTCAATGAAACCAAGCATTGGAGTATTTTCCTCATGAGCCATAAGCACTTATTCTCTTTAATCAACCTTGACAGAACTACTGGGGAAATAAAGTAGATGGTTCTGATCAAAAGTATCACAGCTCAGTCATTCTTATAAAATACCACTAACTTCAATAATGTAAATTCAGGGTGTTTAAGCAAATGTAGCTATTAACAATAAAATAAGCACTTCAGCACTTTTCAACAACCCAAGGCACTTAGTTATGAAATAAATGGGTCATGTCTGTTACATTAGCACCACAGAGTAAATTTTCAGAATGAAGAATTTGAATATTACAATAATGTGACAAGCAAATATTTATAAACAAAATTAAACCATTTGTCTTTATAAAAATGCAAAACTGGATTCAAGCATTTCCACAAGATTCTGGTTTTGTAAATACATTGATGAGGTCATCATCCAAACACATCCTGTATTTATCTTTTTAAATCAACGGAAAATGTTTTTTTTTTATTCTGCATAAGAGATTGAATAAAGCTGGTCTATGAACTGGGTCTCAGCTACTTCAGTTAGTCATGGGGCTTGAATCCATTAACCCACCACTGCGCTCAACCGTAACCTTCAGCCTAACCTCAAACAAACATACTCACTGGAAACCATCAACAGTACAAAACAGATTGGGAGGGGGTTAATAAAGTCAATCCCATTGGCCACTTGTGTCCTAGGGGACTACAATAAGGGCAGCTAACTTTAAAGAACCTGAAAATGCAATTTAATCCATCTTCTAACCACTTGGTTGCAATTTTAATTATAGATCTAAACCTTCATACAAACTTGAAGAACAACTCCCTCATAAGCCACAAACTTGGTGCCAACTGTACATTTTTCAAGAATTACTACTACAGAATGCTTTACTACTGACATGACAAGCTTGCATGAAATCCAGCACAACAGATTACACATGGGTCAGTATTGAGCATTATTTAAAAACGTGTACAAAAATTATAATCTTAAAATCATAATGGGATATTCGGCTTTTCGGTGCTATACGGACATTAATTTACGCCCATAATTAGTAGTATGTCAAATATTAATGAGATGTGTTTTGTGATACCCAAAAGTTAGTAATCTGTATAAACTTTATGTTTCTTAGATTCGATTAGCGGAGCACACCACATAATACTATTTTGGTATACTACGGTTTGGTATACCTCAGTGCAATATGCACTGAAGTCGCGGTGAAGAGCAGCCACGGCATCTTTTAAAAGAGGAGATCTTCTGGATAAACAACGTAAAGACGTCGGCGGTGTGGTGGTACTTTTTGCAGTTCAGAGTGACACATTTATTAAACATAAGGATATGCGTATTTATACTAATAATGACTTTTGGACGTCATACAAAGCCTCATTAGTATTTTAGCCATACTACTAAACTGCTTAAATTGTGGGCGTAAATAAATGTCCGTATAGCACCGAAAAGCTGGCGCATGGCCAAATGCTGCGCCAGTCATCTGAAGTCCTGGTGATTACTGCACATGCGCGATGCAATACCGATATATCGCTGATCACCAGAAGACTGTCTTTCGTTGCATGGAAATATTTTCCATAAAGACCATATTAAATAAAAGCAAAAGACTGACCAGCACTGCTTTGTGTCTGTTGGCGCAATTTTCCTGAACAAGCGTATGAAAATCTGATGACAAAGCATTAAATTACGTGCGATAGCTACACCTTGTCCAAGAGAAATTTCACATACATGTGCTCTTTTATTGGTCCCCCTGGTTCCAGCTCACTTGCACTGAGCTTTATAATCGGTAAATGACTAGCTAGCAATGTTGTTGACAGCAACCACAACCGAATGCAACCATTCAATATACAAAGCATGATTTACAATACTTGCAAATTTGCAAAGGTAAATCTCAGGGATGGGGGTAAACAATCACTTAATACACCTGCAAAATAAATGCAGAAACTCACTTCACACCATGTTCTTTTCTCCGTCCAACCACATGACATGTGAATGACTTTTCCGAAGGCAATTTTTGATGATGCAAACAAGTCTCCATAACAAGTCTCTGTGTGGTAGGTTATGTTTACAGGTACAATTCAGTTAACCCCCCCGGGGGATTGGAAAAGCCTGTATGAATATCCTTTACTACCATAGTATCAACGACGAATCAAATTTACAGAAATTTACACAACAGATTTTACAAGCAGACAAAATGAAGAAAACTCTGGAAAAGGGATATGCACGTGAAATATGCGTATTCGCAAAATCTAAAAAGAAACTTGAGAAAAGACTTGATTTTTTTTCATCCATTTTGCGTTTCTCTGAATTAGGGTAGCAGTTTTACTACTTACACCCATCAGTGTGCGTCTTACTACATATATATGCTTCTAATTTCCGTGTTACTGCTCATTAATCGCATGTGCATACCGAAATGAGGCGAAAGCAGGGTTAAGTTAAACTTCCCCGAGTTTACACATAAACCCGCCATTCATTAATGTTTTACTTCGCCGAACTGCATCGTTGAGTAGCAGGGGAATAAACAGATGCGAATAAAATAATCATCGGTATCCCGACACCGTGCATTTAAACAAGCCATTATTTACATCATTACAGCTGGGTTTGCATCCCATTATGCAGACACCCTAAATTACCCCGTTCAACCCTAGAGCTGCAGCAAAGGCAACCTGCTATATGCTCTACTGCTGACGATATTAGTGACTGGTTTATTTTTTAATCATCCTATCATCATAATAATAGTAATAATAATGATGAGCGTCATTTGGCGACTTGCACAGGAGATAACAGACCCGTCAGCGGGGTACCAGGACACCCCACCGAGGCGGCAGCGGACACTTGACCTTCCTCACCAGCACACGGGCCTTATTTCGCTTATTTTCCTCAGATTAGCCGGACTATCAGAAAAACAGCTCACAAGACCAGTAAGTTTCGAATGGCTCCAGGCCGCCCTGCATACTCACATCTCCTCAGCCATTTCATCCAGGAGCGCACAATCAAGACGTGATGCTTCTTGTTTTCGATGCACCAGCCGGACAGGCCCTGGATCGACTCCATGGTGTTGGACACTCCTTGAAACCGGCGGTCCAAAGACGACTCCAGGGCGCCGGACGAGCCACGACCACTGTGACCACCCGAGGATCCGGCCCCGGCCGCCATTTTCCCGTCGCCGGGTCTCCAGGCGGATGGCTGGAACACGGACTCACAGCGGCCCGCTGTGGAGGCTGCACAAACAGCCGCTCGTTAACGCCGGACCGGCTAACGCTGAGTATACAAGCGCCGCTTAAACGTAATTTATTTTCGGCCCTACAGTGCTCAGGTAGACTGAAAAGCCGCCGGGGTGACCGAGGGAATCGCCCACTGAGAGGCTTCAGCCTGCGGCCATAGATGAAACGCCGAGCCGGCCGGGTTAGGGTTAGGTGAGCGGGCAGCCCGGGACCCGGGCAGTCATTCCCCGGGCGCTCTGCTAAATATGCTAACTCACGACTAGCCGCCGGAGAAGCGAGGACCATCTAACTGCGTGTCTCACTGGCCAGAGAGCTGGATATGTGTACAGACCAATTAGTCCTGTTTACCCGTAAATCGAACGGGGAGGGAGCTGGTTACTGTAATGGTTAAACATTAACACACGCACACTTCTACTCACTAGCTACTCACAACTAGTGTAACGTGCTGGCTGTACTATTTGTGTTGTTAACCCAGACAGCCACCTCCCGCCCAGAGAGTCCCGTGCACGCGCTCGCTCGCGCTCTCTCTCTCGCGCTCTGAGTTTATATTCCACACGTAATATTTAATAATATGGCTGAAACTCCCGTCAATATTCAAAGGCCACGCCGCTGCATCTCGCGTGCACGACGACAGGCTCCGCCATCTTTGACGTCCTACCAGACTCGCGGCTCCCGCAGACTGCGCATGCGCAGGTACGCACCACGCAACGTCACGACGAAGCAAAAATGAAGCCGGATTGGTGTCAGAATCTGCTGTGGAAAAATCGATTCAGCTTCAGATCCATACACAGAAACGTAGATATCCTTCAACAGAATCACGAAGAATATCAAGAATGGTAAATCGGGATATCCGAAGACGGCATATCGCTTCAAAAAGGATGGATACAGGATTTGTTGTGCAGGCTGCTAAAACGATATATTTTTGAATTACCTGAGGCTGAACTGAAACGGACTGATCTCGAAAAAAATGTGGATTTTATATACAATTATCTGCTATGTTGTACTTACTAATGAACGTGTTTTACCAAATACTATCATAAAAACCATCAGGGTAAAGCGGACAAGATCAGTATACCGTTTCAGCTCGTCTCAATGGAAATAGCATTTATTATACATATGTAATATTATGAAATTCATTTCAGTAATAAACGTAAACCCGGGAATAACTCCAAGTTTCGAGCAATTTACATTCACCAAAGAGGATGTTTCAAGAATTAAACGTAGACACAGGCAAAGGGGATGAATAAAAGTCTTTTATCTTGGAAATGTATTATCCCGAATGGGTATCAGGAATATGTACATTGGTGATCTGTGTGACAGCGTGGATTATGGTTTGAGGCACACCCAGTTTCTCCAGACAAACGTAGCGCCGCTTAATTGCTCGCAAAGGTCCACATATATTCTGCAAAAACGTAGACTGAGAAAGCTTTTAATATGCCTATTCAGTTTGTAGTTGGATTTAACTTGAAAACTGAAATACAATTTCAAAAAGTCACTAAAATGCTGACAAAAAAAACTAGGTACATCTCGATGAGTAGTATGGTTCAGGTTGTCTCCCATCTGTACAGGACACTGAGGAATAGAAAGATTCAAATTCTGCATATTACAGTGAAGCAGAGAGCAGAGTCAGACGTCAAATCTGAACTGTGCTGGATAAATTACACCATTAAGTGGAAGTGGCGCCACAGTGTGGCTGAACCCATAAATTGCAGGCGAGGCGACTAAGTTGATACTGGAGCCAGAGCAGCAGAGTAACTGGCCAGAACATACGACACGCACACACACAAAACGCTGTATTAACAGCATGACACGGCCACACTGCCAGTGATCTACACACAGACAGTATACAACGCCACAGGGCATGTACACGCTCTCATACTTTGGCGGTATCCCATATTTAGAGTAAGGGGAGGAGCCTTCTTATGACCAATACAGTTATCCTCAAATAGCCCAGGCTCCTCCCACCCTTAGCCACACCCACACAGTGACGACAGGCAGAGGACGCCTCAGTCGTCGGTGCACTCCAGCACGCTCTGGCTCAGCGCTAGGTCCCAGTAATGCTCCGTGCCGTGCTTCTTGAAGTGCTCTCTGGCCATGTTCTCCGTGGGACACTGCTTGAACTTCACCTCGCCAAAACTGCGCTCCTTCGCCGTGCCCTGGGTGGGAAAAGGGGGCACAGTATTGAGCCATCAGGGCCTGCTTAGCCAGATTAACCAAAGACAGATGGCCACATTCTGGCACTCATTCATGGAGAAATCCACCCAACTATGCAATCAAGTCCCAAAGTACATATTCAGTCTGTTTAGTAGACCGATTATTCTAACACCACGTGAAAAACACGGATTGCTCTTAAACGGAACAGGGCGCTGCAGCAGACTGGACACCAGGGGGTGCCCGTGGCTGGCCGGGGCGACACCCACCTCCCACACCAGGCTGCACTTATTTGTCTTCTTGGACGCCTCATCGTCAGATCCCTCGCCATCTATTACAAAAGAGGATCAGGAGACTTAAATTTCTTTTAAAATGTTGAATTTCATTATGAGAGATTCATCCGCTCGCCACTTACCCTCTCTTTTTGAGTTAGTCTGTTCCTCCCATTTAATTCTACTCAACATCAGCTTCTTGAACTTCTTCTGAGCTTTGGGACCTGGGGACACAGAGACGGGGGTGAGGCGGAGTGAAACCGGCACGCGAGCAGGTTCTCGGAGCGGCGGCCCGGTCCTCACCCCCCTCCACCACCACGATGTTCACATCTCTGTGCAGCACCACCGTGCCCGTCAGGTACAGCTGGGATGCGTTCGCCTCCACCTTGAACTTCTTGGCTGGGTTCGTCAGATTTCTTATTCTAGATGGGGAAATGCAATCAGACTTAAAATGCTGCCCGCTCCAAGCTTAGCATCCTACAGGGCTGTGTGTGTAATTACAATATTGAGCCAGACACATGCACCAGAACCTTCACCTGACCTCTCTTTATTCACTGGCTATGCCCCTGACAAACCACACCCCCCAAGTCAAACCCCACCCACCTACCTATACACAGTTATGTAAACTCCCTGGCTCAGGTCCTCCTTCAGCTTCTTGGCCTTTTTCTCCTTCCTCTGTTCTGAGGTCAGCTTGCGAGCTGCGTTCGCTTCTTCATGGGCCCTGAAGGCATGGAGGGAGAATGAGCAGCCGCGAAACCAGGGACGCACACCGTCACAACACCGGGCACGGCAGGGCAGGGTCACTTCACTCAGCATGACTCACTTCTGCCTCTTGGCCATCTGCGCTCGGACATGGGCCTCCACCTTGGTGGGGTCCTGGACGGCCTCTGTGCCCAACACTCGCATCAGGTTGGAGATGCGCACTAAGGGGGGGGCAGGGCACAGTCATTATGAGCCATGATAGACACCCACCATTCTACAGTAGTCGGGAATCCTGCAGTAATGAGTCACTGTAAACAGACAGAGGCTCTGGAAGATTGTACCGCAAGCCACCCAAACAGGATGGGCCATACCTTTGGGCTCTGGGGGGGGCATCAGTCCCAGTCGCACCTTCTCCTGCATCTCCTTCTGCCCTTCCCTGCGGGTCTGCCTCCTCAGCTTCTTTTGCTCCTTCTTGGTGAGGTACACTCCCAAGGTGACCGGCTTGTCTGTGTCCACTGAGAGAGAAAGGGGGGAGTCGGCGGCACACACATGTTAAACTAGGGCATCAGTGCATCGTGATCAGGGATGGACAGTACTGGCAGCCCCCCAGGTCACAAACAAGATTCTTTCCCTTAGCCTAAGTCGAATTTGTAGGCAAGCTAGAAAAATATTATAATCTGTATTATAATAGCAAAAGCAGCCACAGAAACTGTACCTTGAGCCAATGAATTGCTGAAGCTGCACAATAGTTCATGTTACAAACTAGTGCATGCGTTCATTATTATTATCACTGTATTTAACTCAGATTTTTAATGTAATAGGCTTTATGGTAGTTCGTTCATAAGTATGAATTGTCTGGAAGTCGGACGTTTTTTAAATCCGGGGACTGCCTGTATTTCTGACACATGTATTTACAATACAAAACTATAGTTTGCATTTGACTTCATAAAAATGATTCATATAAATTAATGCAATTTGTATTAAAATACAAAAATAGTATTTTGCATACACAAGAAACTGTCCCCATAATGTAACCACAATGGGACCGCAAAATGCTTGTGCATAAAAGAGGAAGTTTTAGTTTTTTCAGATATTTGAATGAATGTAATTAGAGCCAACAGCTGATCATTTACCTCGAATCAAGAAACTTGCAAGCTCAATTCAGACCTATTTGTATTTAAAGGCTTTAAGATGCTATGACGCACTTAAATTGTCTCTCAAATGTTTCATTTAAAATTGAGTGGCGCAAAAAGGAAGCAGTTTTGTCAATTAAATTAGAAAAAAAAATTGTGTTTGCACAGTGATCATGCCCGGTCGCACGGTGGCTGCGACTCACTACAGCAGTTACTAGGTTTCTTGTGAGACTCGTAAATCATCATCATAAAAGATGTTTATGATCTCATTTATAAATGTCTTATTTCTTATTTAAAAATGCATATAATTACCTTACTTAATTCTATTTCCTTTGGGGTTAGTTATATTTTGGAGTTCATTCCCTTGAACCCGTCTTTCCCCGCTGGATACGTGTATTTTAGTTCATGATTTTAGTGAACGCAAGGTTTTTCAGCAACGCATTAGTTGCGTTGCAACAGGACTGAAGGGCATTTCTGCCCTTTATTATAAAATATTCAGAAAATTGTCTTTTTTTTAATTTTTTTTAAAAATTACTAGTATAAAGACCCACGGAATATGTTTTCAAGTGTCTGCAGGCCATTTTTTGCTCTTAGCTGCCCCCTGCTGGCAGTTCCAATTTACTGCCCTCTGTCCTTGCAGTTACAATTTTAGATCTGATGAAGTTTACATTTTACACTGTAAGCTTTCATCCATGTAATGTTTTTGTGAAGTAGTAATCAAATCCAAAGATCAAATAGGGAAAAAGTGCAGCAAATAATTACAAAGACTGATTTTAATTGTTCTGAGATTCTGCTTTCTTTGTATTCCATTAAGTGTGTAATTACGTTGCCATGGTAATTTGTTAAATTTTTTCAGAGAAGTTAAAAAAAGGTTTGAATTTAGGTTATAAGAACAATCAAATAATAGATTCAATTGAATTGACACAGCAATGAAAGATTTCCAGTGCATCTAATCTTTTCCTCAATAATCGTAATCGAAGAAAATCACCTTTCGGCCAGATATTCACACTACTAATGTAAACAAATCTGCCTGAAAACTGCTTTCATGCATCACAGATGGATTCCCATCATGCCTCAACGCCCATTTTCATACTTATGCACAACAACAGAGCTCCATTTCTGCATGCAAATATTGTTCTTTTTGAATGTCTCACTGCAAACAAAAAGCCAGATGCCAATGATGAATTTGTGCGCCCGTTTCTCCCAGATATGTTCCTGTAAGGTGTAGTCCTCCATTTCTGAGACACATTAGGAAACTGCCAGTCACCACAAAGGGGCCCCTGTGAAACTGTGACCCTTTCACCCTAAAAGCCACACCCACAACTTTTTCAATATTTTTAAATGCTCCTTGCCAAACCGCTCCAGAGGCAAAAAAAAAGCCAGCCTGCTTTACTGTAAGGGGAGCCGGGGGCATGCTGACCACACACCCGGCCTTACCTGGGGGGCTGATCTGAGCCGGGTGCTCCACCAGGTTTGTCACCCCAAATAGATCGATGGTGTCAAATGTCGTTGTGCATGAACTGCAGGAACAGGGTGGAAAGTCATTGGAGGGGGGAGGATGGGGGAGTACGGCAAGGCTTGGGGAGATGACAGAATTGGGGGGGGGTCATCCTAAGCAAACAACACTGAAGCTTAACACTATGCCAGCAACTCTGGCCATGTTCATGGTGAGACAATATGGATATTAAAACAGACTGAACAACACAAAAGATAAACTTCATAACTAAAGCAGTAGTTACAACAATGCTTATGACTGATACTCAAGATCTCAATAATTTTTATTAGAACTCAAGCTTCTAATAAAAATTCAAAAAAAGGCTCTGGCCCGAC